TACGAAATTACAATTTTTCTTATTCATTTCTATCTCAATACGGCGTCTTGAATTGAAGATGAGCTATTAACTCATTATAATATCTGCTTTATATAAAAAGTATACACTTTGTACGACGTAAAAACACGTTTCCTAAAATTAAAGTATACGAAAAAAAAGAACCAGTTCTCCTCTAACAATATATTTAAATTAGAAGTTTAATACAAAGGTATAGTTTGTATTATGATTCATGTATTTGCGCGCATGGTAAGTATAATAGAACGAAAGTAGCAGTACATATTTATTTTAAAACCTATAATAATATTTGACATAGTCAAAAGTAACTCCATGTGTGCAATGTGTACATGGATTTTTAATAGTATATAGTCCGGTCGATAATTATCGATATTTTTAATTTCAAAATGAGGGCTACTATTTTGTTGGAGTTCGCTGTTTACTGAGAAATTCTGAAAAAAGGATGATTTCTTTATATTGTAGTCACATGTAGGTATATATTTTTTGCTATGTATACTCGGTATCTTTATAATAATAATTATAATAATTTATAATAATAATTATGTGTAATTATTCTTATTATCTATAATTATCTGTTATTGTTGAAATTGAGAGAAATTTGAATGCGGAAATAAAATTACAGCAGAAATATGCAAACACAAATATATTTAGTTAAAATATATTTAGGTTTATTTAAAAAAAGAAAAAGTATATAAAATAGCTGTCCATGAATTCATTAAGAACATAGAGAGTAATTCTAATAATATAATTAATCTCACTAAAATAAGGAATATTGCCATTCCACAGTTCTCGGTTTTTTTAAACAATAATACAAAGACAAACAGGATATATGACAAACTTACTTTTATGTATAAAAAAACTATAAAATTCTGTCAACAAAATCCGAATATTATATTATTTTCACAAGAGCAGACAAGGGAAACACGACCGTAGCGATGACCAAGGAATTTTATGTAAGTAAAGTTAAGGAACTATTAAAAGACAAATATAATTACACAATAGTTAAAAACAATCCAATAGTAAAAATAGAAAAAGATCTAAATAAGAACTTAAAACAATGGTTGAAAAATAATTGGATCACTAAAAAAGAATATTATTTTTTAAAATAAAAACTTTTGTACTCGGCTCGAATTATTGTGTTACAATAAAAATGAAATATCGACGGCAATCGGAGCCTGTGCGGATGTCATGCACAAAATTAATAAATAGAAATGAGATCTCACGTAAAGCTCATTTATTCAATTCTAAACGTTTTGACCCACTTCGGGTCTTCTTCAGTAGAATCCGCAAAACAAATTAAATGTTCTTGAAATGTTCATTATTTATTACTGGCGACTCTTAAGGATTATCATTTATTAAATGTTCTTCTCCTCCCTATTCAAACTGTCCGGCTGTCGGAGTGTCTCCCTAACGGTGACCATCGTCAGGAAGGAAGCAGAGCACATAAGTGACTCCCTTACCAACACCCGGCAGTAAAAAACAAGGAGAAGACGATGTTACACGTGACACATCACTCTAACGACTGTGAGACATTCCGACGGCCGGACAGTTTGAATAGGAAGGAGAAGAACATTTAATTTGTTTTGCGGATTCTACTGAAGAAGACCCGAAGTGGGTCGAAACGTTTAGAATTGAATAAATGAGCTTTATGTGAGATCTCATTTCTATTTATTAATTTTGTGCATGACATCCGCACAGGCTCCGATTGCCGTCGATATTTCATTTTTATTATTTTTTAAGTTCTAGCGATTCACTTCTTCCCAAAGCATACGGCTTGCCTAAAATTCATAAAGAAAATGTCCCATTTAGATTAATAGTTTCATCAGTTAACACAGCATTACACCATTTAGCTACACATTTACACAACATTTTAGTGACAAGTTTACCTAAAACGAATAGTCAAGTGAATAATAGTTTTGAATTATGTAACACATTGTCTGATCTTAAATTAAACAATAATGAAATAATTGTATCATTGGATGTAATATCGTTGTTCACGAATGTACCTCTGGACCTTGCAATAGACAGCATAAATAACAGGCATTATATTGAAAACCACACATTAATTTGCAAAAATGAATTTGTTAATGCTATTAAGTTTATTTTAACTTCAATTTTCTTTACTTTTAACAATACTATTTATAAACATATTCATGGAACCCCTATGGGATTGCCTCTATCTCCAATTATAGCAGATATTGTCATGCAAGATTTAGAAACTACAATACTTGATACAATTAATGCAAATGTAAGATTTTACTATCGCTATGTGGATGACATTTTAGTTTGCATGCCGGAGGATCAGGTCTTATATTTAGTTAAAAAATTTAATGATTATCACGATAGACTAAAATTTACAATAGAACGAGAAAATAACCGTTGCATAAGTTTTTTGGATATTTCACTCAAAATTATAAATAACATAATTCACATTGATTGGTTTCAGAAAAAAACATTTTCGGGTAGAACACTTTCATATTATTCAAATCATCCTATGTGTCATAAAAAAAGTGTCATATATAATCTAGTAGACCGATCAATACTATTATCACATCCTATTTTTCATAATAAAAATTTAACATTAATCATAGAGATTTTATTAAGTAATGATTATCCTCTCGATCTCATTTTCTCAGAAATTAATAGAAGACTGAAGTTCCTCATGGTTAATAGATTAAACACCGAAATGACTCATAATACGAATAATAATGACATAAATAATGACAACAATAAAAAATTTATAGCGATACCATACATTGAAAAAATCTCGGAATTAGTAGCATCAGAGTTAAAAAAATCTAACATAATAGTAGGATACAGAAGTTTGAAAAAATTAAATAGTCATAAAAACACAAAAAGACAGAGATAATTGTTAGAATAATTCGGGTGTCATATATAAAATATCGTGCAATAATTGTGATGCAACATATGTAGGGCAAACTAAAAGACAATTAGGCACAAGAGTAAATGAACATAAAAATAATATCAGATTGGATTCTGCAAGACACTCGATGGTTTCTGATCATATTATAAAGTTTACACATACTTTTAATTGGAATAATACAAAAATCTTGGATCACGCAAGGAATCATTATAAAAGGTTGATATCGGAAATGATATACATTAAAGAAGAAAAAAACAGTATGAACTTAAAAAAGGACACCGAGCGACTTGACGGTTTTTATTTTGGTATTTTAGAAAAATTGTCTATGTCATCTTAGTATGACGGTATGGTATATACAGCGTCCTGACATTGTAATTTACATATATTGAGTTTGCTTCTTACAAAGTATACATTGTTTATAATGTTTTTCAACAAGAAATATTTTAAAGAATTTTTATCGTCTCGACATAGATGTAAGTGATCACTATCTATTTAAAAATCAAATATCTAATATTTAGGCTAACACATTAATTATTTCACAGTTCATTACATATCATTACTACATTATAGATTACAAAATTAGATATTTATTTAAAAAGAACTACAGAAATCTGATGTTTGGGGTTAGGCTCTTTAACGACTAATTTGAATGATCAGCCGTAATTCAAGCCAACAATTATAATGTGTTATATTGTGTTTTTCATATTATAAGTCTATATATTTTACATGTATGATATAAGTTCGGTCTTTCCAAATTATTTGATTTATGGATATGTTAGCAAAGCGATATTTGTATTGATAAAGACTGTCGCACAGTCGAAACGTTTACTAATTATTATTTGTATTATTTTCATGACTTAGAATAAATTGTTAACACTTAATTAATCAACTCGTTAAATCGTTGGCCTTTTAATTTATAACTTATTTTAAGAAAAAGTGTTTTGTTCACTTTAGTTTATATATATATATATATAAGTATATATATATATATATATATATATATAATTATCCATTTAGATCACATTAATTCAATGCCGATGTAACATTTGATATACATTTAATACATATTAGAGTAAATAAGATATTTATTTATGTTTTATATACACGTGTCAAATAAGTTTTTTACTTAATTAAAAATTTATATTTTATTTTGTAAAAATTGTGTACTTTCATTTATTTATTAATTTTAAAATATGTTAACTTCGTTAATGAGCATGAACATGCACGTGGATTTAAAAAAAAATGAATGATTACAAGAAAACAGATCAATTATTATATTAATGAATGTCCGAGATGTGCTGCTTCTCCAACAGAATGTTAATTCATTGCGATATCTTTTTATCGACTACACAGATCAATAAAACCTATTCCACGATTAAAGTACTTGTAATAACGGACTGCGCAGACTGCAATTCTATGTAAAAAGCAAAAAAAGTAAAATAACTACAATTTTGTTATCGATTTTTTGTGTCAAGTCATAACAATATTTGTTTAATAAAATAATTCTAGTTGTCTGTTGGTATATAAAATAGAGCTCATGCAGTCGGAATAATATGAAAGAATATTAGTATACAATTATAAATGAGATAACAAGTGTAGTAAAAAAGTTATATATGTTTTCATGTATAAGTGTGTGTGTGTGCGTGTGCGTGTGCATGAGTGTGCAAAACCAAACTCAAGAGTTAAAATGGAGCAGTAGATTACCCTCTTGATGTCGCGATAGAGCCCCAACATGCTGAGCTGACATCTCTCTCTTTCTCTCTCTCTCTCTCGCTCTCTCTCGCTCTCTCTCTCTTTCTCTCTCTCTCTCTCTCTCTCTCCTCTCTGTTTATTTTTTCAGAGTAAATTATAATATTTATATAATATTTATAAAGATAAATTGTTTGTGATGTTAATTGATCATAATTTGCAGCTAGATAACAGCAGTGAAAATACAACACTAGATAAAAAACAAAGTGTATACAAAACTTGTTTTGCGAGTGTGTGTGTTTAGAATAAAGAATTAAAAATCTCAAGCAGAAGTGATTCACTTTTAATGATTTTAGAATAGAGAGGGAGTTTATATATGCTTGTATATTAGCTTATATATAAGCTTGATTGCACTGCGTTGATCAGTCTTTATTCATACTTGTTAATACATCTGCTAGAAATATTTTTCCTTACAATTTTAAAAAGTATTTTGTGAGAGAAACTTTGGTTTCGAAGATGTTTGCTGTAATCTTTGCAATTGCGCTTGCGAATGCATATGCAGCCGAAATTCGTAAGTAAGCGAGAATATTTATCCATATACAAGTGTAATCAAAATTTTAAAAATGTAGAAGAAATAATATATAAATCAGAAAATTCAACTATATAAATTGTGTTACTAGGTTGTAAGAGATTAATGTAAAAAGAGAAAATTATATTGACGTTCATTAAAACATATTATTTTAAATATTTGATTAACTTTATGAATAAACATACACATTTTTAATATGTATTTCTTATTAGAAACTGCAAGTAAACAATTAAAATAATTATTATTTTATATTAATTCAATTTCTCTTTCATCTTTGTCTTTAAGATTCGTTCTCACTTATTATTTTTAAAGATTATTATTTATTAAACAAAAAAATATAAGCATATTTAGCTTCGTATAACTTTTCTAACTTTTCTAGTACATAAAAAATCTAAATATTATTTTGAATAAGAAAATTATTTGTAATATAAATATGATGGTTTCTAAATCGGCCTCAGAGCCATAACACGAAATATTACGAAAATTAATTATTCGGAACTGTATCTCTTGGTACGAAATTACTAAAGTTCCATATATTAATTAACCTCGAACTTACATATGGAGAAATAGGCGCGAAAAATATAGGTCCGAAAAGTCGCTGAAGCGGGAAAAATTATTTGTGTTTTTTAAGAAAGAAATAATATTATTTCTTGATTTCTTATTATGCAAATAAATATATATTTGTGCTTTATAAGAATTGATTTTTTTATTTATTATTTTATTAAATATTATTTAAATAATTTTATAATAAATATTTTGCATTAAAAATTTTTCTTACTCCATATTGTCTTTATTACAATATAATAAATTTGTTTTATCATATTACTTGGAAATAAATACTTTGAAATAAATATTTAAAAGTATATCAGTTGAAAATCAATTAAATATTATATATAATAATATAATTATTAAAATATACTTATAATAATATATAATAATATATAATTATTATAATTATTTTAATAATATTATATTATAATATATATAACAATAATAATTAATATAATAATATAATATTATTATATTATTAGATAAGGTTTTAGCGGGAATTTATAACAATTATTTAATTTGTTTAATAAGCAATTATATAACAACTTTGTTTTATTTTATTATATAAATTTCAACACTATTGAATTATAACACAATGAATCAATTGCAATGCATATGCATTACGTAGATAACGATGTTAAGGACATGCTTTGAAAAAAAACACACGTGTGTGAAAAAATTTCTCTAATTATAATCTAGGCACGCTTAATCGAGGAAAATGATAGGCAGGTACTGTCGGCTTTGAAAAAATTTCTCATGAATTTATTACTTGCGTGTATTATATTTTGATACTATATAATCTAAAAAAGGTCCTATGTGTGAAAAAATTTCTCTAATTATAATCTAGGCACGCTTAATCGAGGAAAATGATAGGCAGGTACTGTCGGCTTTGAAAAAATTTCTCATGAATTTATTACTTGCGTGTATTATATTTTGATACTATATAATCTAAGAAAGGTCCTATAAAAAAATTATTGAAATAACAATTATATATTTCGTAAAAACTTTATAATAAACTTGATTTACTGTGCATTAGCATTCTTATATTATAAAATTATAAAGTATATTTTAAGTGTATTTTACATATATTTTATATAGACAAAACAATAGAAGTGTTGAAATAAGTTTTTATCGTTAATTTAAATTATTGTTTTACGTACTTACAGAGTTTCTTAAATGTTTCAAATAATTTAATATTAATATTTCTTTTAATATAATTTTTGAACTAATGTTTGTCGGTATTCTTTTTTTTTAGAAGACATAAAATTGAATCTCTTCTTAAGTTTCATTGTTTCTTATTTTCCGTGATGCTAATTGATTCTCGTATTGTGTTTAATTTGCATTTGTAACCTGCTGTCATCGCACGGAATAGTATATATGTATTTTTTCAGTTTAAAAAATTTGAAATATATGAATGTGAATAATTTTATTCATTATCTAATTCTAATATTGATTAATTCAATGGTACAATAATATGCAGTTTTTCATTCGTTTTGTGCACAGATATTCTATTGTTGCATACTTTACATTTTATAACACCGTTTAAAATAATGCCTACAAATGGAATCAGATTTCAAGGTTTTAAACTTTGTACATATAATATTCAAGTTGTATGTGAAAAAATATTTTAAAAAATAGTCTCATTTTAATATACATATCATTTATAAATCTATTTATAAATCTATATGAACAAGTTGAAAACCGATATTGATTGAGCAATAAAAATCAATATACAACTGAACTGTGAGAATTAATGGAGTGATTGGTATGCAATATACGGCACATATAATTAGCACAAATTCTACTAGTCAATGTTTATAAGTTTGTATTACTTAAACTGTAAATTGAGACTTTGATACTTTTTATGTCAATATTTTCGATTTTATTAGTCATTTTAAAATACATGATTAAAATAATTTTTATTTTACACTTTACGAAATAATATAATTTATTTATAATTTTCTATCGATACAATGATAGAAACGAAAATACATTTACGGTGTGTAATTAATGGTTACTAATTAAAAACTAAAGTGGAAATTAATACTGAATGTGTCATAAGTTTTGCATACATATATGTATATATAATATATTAATAGATATATATGTATTTAATGGCAAATTTGAATCTGTTACTCCATTAAAAATATATAATGTAATATTTTTTTGATAGTTCTCTCTCATACACAATTCTCTCTTATCCTCACTTTCCTTCTTTTTTCTCTTTTTTTAATATTTTTTCTTCAAATATTAAAAAATTTAAGATATAAATTAAAAATAAATTGTATACATATTATGTCAGCGCATGCTATTTTATTATAACATTTTAACAATTGTATATTATTTTAAACTATAATTTGTAATATTTAAAATTATCTGGTAACAGTTTTTATTATAATTTTATTATAATATTTTATAATATTAATTATAATATTATAAGTTTTATTATAATATTATAAGTTAATAGAGATGATTTAAATTCTTTACAGCCTCCTATATTAATGTTTGTGGCCGCAAGAATCCAAATATCAATCAATGCATCCTAGATAATATGAACAATTTGAAAGATAGAATTTGCAATGGACTTACGGATTTGGGCCTTCCACCGCTTGAGCCCCTCAATATTGAAAGATTAGTCATTTCTGACGTGTCCAACAACAAAATATATATAAATGATGTACAGATAACAGGACTTTGTGATTTTAACATCAAATCTTTCAAAGTAGATCTTGACAAGCTTGATTTTATCATTGATATTTCACTAAACCGAATTTATTTGAACGGCACGTATGATATCAACGTACATATACTGGTGCCCCTTGTTCATAAGGCACCTATTTATCTTACTTCAGGTATCTAAAATATCAGTTTTGTATTAAATAAAATAGCAATATTTGTATGTGTGTGTGCGTGCGTGTGTAAAAAAATTAAATGTATAGAAAAAATTAAAAAATTCAAAATTCAACAATATTTCAATAATAATCAGATTGATAATATGATGATATGATGATTGATGATATGTCTTTTTATAGATAACGTAGGCGTTAAGATACATCTACTCGCGGAAACTGCAAATAAAGGGGACAAAAAACATATGTATGTATCGGAAATGAAGACAAACGTTCATATCACTAGATATGAAGCTAAATACGGTTTCAACGAAAATGATCTAAGCCAATTAGGTCAAATTCTTGGCGGTCTCATAGGCAGCAATCAAGAGGAATTTATTCAAAGATTAGTACCGACATTAGAAGAAGAGGTTTCTAAATGGTTGATCAATATTTTTAACAGCTTATTTAAAATGTTCTCTTACGATGAACTTTTCCCAGATCGAGAATAAATCATCTAGTACTTTAACTTGCAAAATCGCTGTATGCATTGCGTCCAATTAAAAAGTAATTGAAAAAAATCTGTTACAATAGTTTGAAAAAAATCAGCGAATTTTATTTTATGAAACAGCATATATGGTCATATAAACATTAATTGATTAATAATAGCGCAACAATGACTCTTAGAAATAATTAGCTAATCAAAAATTGTTTGTCTCTATATTCCTTTGCATATAAGGATTTTGCATTAATATTTAACACAATTTAATTTAATAAATTATTGACATATAAATGTGTAAAAGCTATGTCTTCACTGGAACAGCAATTTTTTGTTACTTATTGTTGCTATATATTTCAAAACAATTTGACACATGTCAACTTGCGATATTTTGTTTATATTGAAGCAATATAATTTGCAATATAATTAGGAACATTTGAATTTTTATCCTATTTCCGTTTTACTACGACTGTGCCACTAAAAATTGAAAGTCTACATTGAAAGAATATTTGTTTCTTTGCGACTTGTTGACGCGTGTTGCTAATTTTTCTTCTTTCTTTACCGCTTTGAATGGAAACATGCAACAAACGGCAACTTTTGTTGTTAGCAACAAAATTAGTAAGAAACTTTAAGAAACTTTCGGCAACAACTAGCAATTTTTTTAAGAAACATGGAACATCAACAAAAGTTGCTCGTTGTTGCGTCAGTGAGGACGCAGCTAAGGAAATTGCAACGTTATATTTTATTATACATATTTATACATGCATCTGTGTAGTTTATTATTACACAAAATAATGCATTATTATAATTATTATAATTATTAAATAATATATTAAATACAATATTAAATATTGTGTATTATTTATTTGAATTATCTTACAATATTAAAAAAACCTGATAAATAAAATATTATCTCACAATATCATTAATAATTTTAATTAAAAAAACATTTAAGATGTAATTGATTAAACAAAAAATATGTTGATTTACAACGTATTCAAATAAAATAAAATTAATTAAAACCATTTCCTTTGTTAACTGTTTGAGAGAGAGAGAGAGAGAGAGAGATCTGATTTTTAATGTAAATAATATTGATTCAACTTCATTAATCGTATTCAAGGTGTATATAGATGCCTAGTATTTGCTGGTCTTTTACGCATATATATATATATATATATATATATATATATATATATATATTTGTATTAAAAAGGCGTTCAAGATGATATTCAAATAATTGCAACTTTCTCTTTTCCTCTCTTTTATATTAATTAATTTACAAAAATTTAATAAAGTTCCAAATGGTCAGCTATAAGCCAATAATTGTGTGTGATCATCGGTTTATCTATTATTAATTTCTCACAGCTTGACTTAATATGAAGTTTTACTTGCGATTTAATTGTATTATTTAATTTCATGATATGGAAACAGAACAAAAAAATCATACATTCTCTTTATGTCAAAAAAGATCAAAATATGTATATGCACTAATAACTAAATGTTTATTTCATAATAACGTGCGTATACATATAGTGTAAGTAATTAGTTGATTATATCGCGAGCATGAGAAGCCAAAAAAAGATATTTTAATTAATCATTGCAGAATGATAAGCTTTGCGCATATAATAGGATGCAATCTCACGATCTATGTCATACATTATTTATGAAATCTTGCACATGTTTGCACATTTGTGAAAAAAAACTCTAATATGTTCTTAGAAATTATATTGCAGATATAAACATAAGGTAGTGAAATAAAAGTTTGTTAATTTATGTTTATGTAACTTATGTTAATAGCTTAGGCGATATCGATCGAATTTTTAAAAATATCGGATTTAATGTTGTTCATAATGTTCCTAAAAAACCGAATCATTTTTAATTATACTCGGCAAGGATAGACTGCCTACAGATAAAAAAACTGAAGTAGTTTACAAAATTAATTGTAAGAATTGCAACGTGTCATACATCGGACAAACAAAGAGACATCTTTGTACACGTGTAAAGGAACATTTTAGTAACATCAAAATGCATTCGAGTAATTTATCAGTTATCAGCAAACATAAAATTGAATTTGATCACGATTTTAACTGGACTTCGCCTGTTATTTTGCATAGTGAAAAACACGTAAGAAAAAGAGAAATCGCTAAAATGTTTTTTATTAAGAAAAATAATAACGCTATTAATTTACAAAAGGATACCGACAATCTAAGTAATATCTACGACAAAATAATAATCGTTTAGTCTCCAATAACTCATCTAAGAGTCTTGACGTGTTGTCAAACCGACACTATGTTCGTTCTTGACATCTTAAAATTATAATTTTATTTTAATTTTTACAAGTATGTTTCGCTTCTTTTTATTATTTTATAATATTGTTAGTGAAGTAATTTGGTTTTTATTGTATTAATCTCTGTCTATGTATATCTAGATCACTTGATAAGGACTCAAAGAAGGGTCGAAACGTTGTGATTGAATAAATAATATTTGCCAGTACGGTCGAGAGAAGATTCTTTTTTAAATTTTGTCTGGCGATTCTCAAATATCTACGTTCTTATTTAAAAAAAAATAAGTCGCATTTTTTACAACAAATTGCGTATCACTTACAAATTTGCTTAATTATTGCTATTCGTATTTGCTTAACATATATCTTCTTTATCATTTGTTTTTGTTGTTATTATTAGTCACATAAAATTACACACTTTTAACTTCAAAGAAAAAAATATTAAAAATCATTTATTTATTTTTGCAATAGAAATACTTTAAATAAAATATTCTTTTTACAGACATGTAGCCATATATGTACTCGTACATATGTGTGTGTATATATATGTATATATATATTGTATATTGAATAAGTTTTTATTTATATAAAATAAATATAATAAAAAATATAATAAAAATAATAATATCAATTTAGAGATCGTAACTGTAATAAAATTGTTACGTATCAAATAAATTTTTATACAAAATTTTGTTATTAACTTATTATTCAATTTAAGAACGTTTTTTTAAACATTGTTATTTCTTATTCATTAGTAGTAGAATTTACCTAACTTTGCTAGAAACTAATATAACCGTAAAGATATAATCATGATCATAAGAAGAAAGAAAGAAAAAAACTGTCTGCTAATGATAAAAGAACATATAAAATAGTAAAAAGCTTAGGCAGTGTAAATAAAGATAATGTAAGGAAGGATACAGTAAAGTAGATAGAACAAGAGAAAAATAAGAATGAAGATTTATGGTATTGCGCGAGACAATGAGCGTAATAAAGAAATGTACGGGACAAGGAAGAGATAAAGAGATTAAAGATAGAAAAGAAATAAAAAAAAAAATTAAATTTGGTAGGAGAAAGTATAACGGTATGCAAGAAGATGAAGAGGAAACAAAAGAGGAAGGAAAGAAGTTGGCGAAAGGAAAAGAAAAGATAAAGTTTAGATTTGAACTAGACAATGTAGAAGAGTTAGATATGACATATAAGAATGATATAAAGAATTCTTAAAAAAGAGATAAGAAAAGAATGTAGGGATATGAAGAAAGAGATAAAAAATTATAGAAAATGTAGAAAAAAAATAGAAGAAAAAAGAGAAAAATTTGATAAATTAGGTTAAAATTAATAGAAGATAAGATAGATTTCTTAAATATTGTAGAAAAATAAGAAAAATATGTGGTTTTATAGAATAACGAAAAGGAAAGAAGATCTAATAAAAATGAACAGAAGAGAAATATATACATATCTGAACAATGCCGATTATTTGGACGGAGTCAGATACTGATTGCCGACTATTCACATGATTGACACCGCTTTCATATTAAACTTCGGAATCAGATTGCCTTGTCTTGTTTCTGATAGGCGAAATATACTCGGTCAAGGTGCATACCTGATATAAAGTGCGATGTCTTTTTCTTAGCAATTTTTATCTTATCGATCTAATATAAATCTTTATTTAAATCTATTTTTATTTAAATTTTATTTAAATTAAAATAAATTAATATAAATTAATTTAATATTTCTCTCTCATCAATAGGAAGCCAAGTATAACAAGAAACAACACGGATGAAAATTAAAATAAAAAATTTTTTGTCATTCCTTACATCAAAAATATCTCAGAATTAATAGTTTCCAGCTCAGAATTAATGGCGTTAAGAAATTCTGAATTTCCTGTGGGATACCGCTGCCTCTACAAATTAGATAGATTTATCAAAGTTCAAAAAGACAAAAATAAGCAGCCATTTAATCTAATGTTATTTGCAAAATTAATTGTAAGGATTGCGACGCCTCATACGTGGGCCAAACGAAAAGACAATTATAACCTAAACTTTGTAGAAATAATAAAAAGCCCTAGATAATTTTTGATAATTATGAACTCTTTTCTCACGGCATTGTAAGTAATTTTAATTAATTTTTATTTAATATTTTTTTTTACTAAATTGACTAACTCAACAAAAAATTTCAATAACATTTTTAAAGGGGATTATTTATTATATTTTTTTATTTCTTTTACCAACAATTTAATGTTGGAACTACTTGGCCACACAATTGATATTGTCAATTCAAATCAACAACTTCTCGCTTTCCAATGATAAAATTGTTAAAAGCTTTTAGTGTTAATTGTCATGTCGAATTACTATATTACTATCTTACAATATATTTTAACCATGTTTTACACTGCAAGAGTTTCTTAATTTCTCTTTTGCACTTCTTAAAATTTAAAATTTATATCTATACAATTTAATATTTCATAATATTTATGTTAGTAGTTATATCTAGAGCAGGACTAGTTGAGCAACTTTTTCTTTGAAGTCTTATAAAAATTTATCTATTTCTAATATGATTATAAATATAGTACTAAATAAGAGATTCGACATTCAGGTTCTTAATTATACAGGCAAAAATTTTAAATATACATTGAGAACAAAAAAAAATAAATTTTAAATAAAGATTGTCAGAGTGACCCGATGTTTTCCACTAGCGGGGTAAGTTGACCCAACGTGTGAGGTGTTGAGCAAGAAGGTGAAGAACAGGAAAT